GAGAGAGTTGAAGAAACATGTTTTGTGTTACTAACAGACAGAAAGAAGGACCTCAGTAAGATGAAGAGTTTACTGAACATCCTGACGGATCCGAACACCAGGTAACAACCCACAGGTCACATGACATGCCACGCTGTCAGCTGACCTCTGTCCTCTGACCTCTGTCCTCTGACCTCTGACCTCTGACCTGCAGGTGTCCTCTGAGGACGCTTCAGAAATGTGAAATCGCTTTAGAGAAGCTGAAGAACGACATGGCCGTGGTGAGACGTCTGTTATGAAATATGTTTATGTAATATTCAGATATTTGAAAGTCGTTGCTCTTCCAAACACCCCGTCGTCCTGTTGTTTTAGCCGACCCCCCCTCCGCCCCCTGTGGCCACCAAGCAGCAATACCTGTGTCAGCCGCTGCTCGACGCCGTCATGGCCAACATCCGCTCTCCGGTCTTCAACCACTCGCTGTACAGAACCTTCGCCCCCGCCATGACCGCCATCCACGGACCCCACATTGTGTAGGTTAAAACACACACAGCACATCCAGCACCACATACGTGTTGGATTTAACCAAAATGTCTCAATTAACTTTCATCGCCTGCTCTTCTGTCCCTCAGGGGCCCCAACATCTGCGGTCGGAAAAGGAAACACGAGGACGAGGAGCGGCAGACCATCCCCAACATCCTGCAGGGGGAGGTGGCGCGCCTTGACGTTAAGTTCCTGGTCAACCTGGATCCTTCGTACTGCAGCAACAACGGCACGGTGCATCTCGTCTGCAAACTGGGTGAGACGCAGGAACATGACACGTCAGCCTGGATGGCGTCCACATGACGAGGTGTCAGGTTCCATGTTTACAGTTTGTGTTATTATGTCGTTGTGTCATCAGATGATAAAAACCTGCCCAGCGTGCCCCCCCTGCAGCTCAGTGTTCCTGCTGATTATCCCGAGCAGAGTCCGCACTGGGCCGACGACGGCGAGTTGTACGGTGAGACGACCGCTTCCTCAGGCTTTTACATCCAACTTCCTTTTTCTGAAACGCGTCTATATTTGTGATGATTAATAAAACGCACTGCTCAAACAGACTGAGGGAACAATCACACATCAGATCTTCACTGAGGAACATTGTAGAATGAGTTGAGAACAAAATGACGTAACAACGATCAGTGGAAACTAAAACCATCAGTGAGGGGGATTCAAACCTGAACATCCCAGTAACAAAGTCCAGCTCTCCTGGTTTCTCCTGGTGTAAAGTCTCCTGGTGTCTCCTCCAGGCTCTGGAGACTGTGCTGGAGACACAAACCTTCTTGTGACCGCATGTATGGATGTGTCCTCCAGGAGGAGCTGGACTTCCTGTGCACCCTGATGGTGCTGCAGGTAGCGCCTCATGCTACCAGTAGTGAGGAGGACCCGAGCAGAACACTGAACTAGAATGAGTCAGGAAGGACCAGGAGACAGCAGCTCTCTGTGGACACCACATTAAAAACATTCTGTTGGGGCTCGTTTACTTTTGTCTCATTGAACCTGATGTGACAGAGAAAGTGATTCACAATCACTTGTTCTTCTGAATGAACTCATGGATCTGAAGTTGAACTTTACACTGAACATTAAGGTTCCCTCACTTTGCTGAGCAGTGTGTATATGTCTGAGTCTGTTAAATAAATAAGATGAAATGAAAGGCGTGTCCCTCATGGACATCCCAGTAGTGAGGAGACGATGCTGATACAAATGTTAGAGTAAACAGTTAATAATA